TTTCTTCTTTCCATGGACTTTACCTGCCAGCAGTCTGAGATTGTTAAAATCTGGTGGGTTTTTTTTTATTCTGCTTCTCTCACTCCTGCCTTTCCTTAGAATCACGCCATCTACCATTTCAGGATCACTTTCATCCGTATTGCCTGCCACCTTCAGATTCACACCCAATTCCCCATAGTGGTCAGAATCGAGTCTAAAATGGCTGACCCCGGTTACTTCCGCCACTGTCTGAAACAAAAAGTTGTCCCCAACATGTTCCAAGGACTCACCGGCCATTCTGTGTTTCGCTGGTTTGTGTTTTACATGCATCACAAATGCAGGTTTCAAGTGGAGACACCGGGTCTCCTCCCATAGTAGGGAACAGTGAAAAGGGCTCAGCACAGACCGGTGACTTCACATGCTACTCCTGGAAAACAGGCAACTTCCCTCCACACATAAGACTGGGAGGATTTCATAACGCAGTACAGAGAACAGCCCACGATAATGCCCCTGGCTGCTGTATTTGAGGCCCTCTAATTCTGCTGTCACAATCTCTTGACCTCGTCGGAGAGGAAAATTAATGCCAATCTCCTCAAGTCATATTTACGGCCGAAGAAAATGTTTTAAGCATTAGCAATTGTTCCAAAGGCTTTACCACCTCGAAGCAGATCAGAAAAAAATATACTATGGAGCAAGATTGTTCTTCATCCCCACTTTGTAGGGAGGGGCATCAGGGAACTCGGATCAAAATCATAGCCCGCTGCCTGGTGTCCTCAGGTGAGGTGCCCTGGAAGCCCACATTCTTTGCTGTGCACTGTCTCCAGGGGGCTGACGGAGCTCTCAGCTGGTTACAGCTCCTTGATTCTCCGTTTGGTTTTTGTGCCCGTGGCACAGCCCAGGGCAATATAAATATTAAACCAGAATGAGACTGAAGACAGGATTTGGCCCATTACACGTCACGGCAGGTCTACAGGAGATTAGGAATCGAGGCTCCCCACCTCCTCTCCTTCCCCAGGCAGCTCCCCTATTGCAAGGAATGGCACAAACGGCATGTGCACAGTGCCGATTGCTAGTCACCATCTCTGGTAGCGTTTAGCAGCTGCCCTGACGCAGGATCCTGATGCGTTCCGAGCATGCTGGTCGCTTCTACCCAGAGGAGGAGAACTACATCTTCTCTCACTTTCACAAGTCTGTTTGGACCTTCTGGCCAATGAGAATTAGGGCTGAATTTCTACCCATGCTGGAGTAGGAGGAGCACCCAATAATGGCCTGAGCAATGCCATTCCCAGCATCTTTGCAAAGGGCTGGCGTTTCGGCCAAGAGGCATTCCCTTGCTAGTCCAGAAATACCCATCATGCAGCAGCCACGGGTGGGAGGACAGATTGGGAAGGGTGCCGAGCACACAACTCCAGTCGGGGCCAATCGGCGCCATGGCGCCTCTGCAAATCAAGTCCATAGCCTCTAGCGCTAACTTCTATCTGCTCAATCAGCTGCAGCCCCCCTCAAATCCACCCTCCCCCCAGCTGAGCCGGCAGGGTGAGCAGTGCCGCTGATGGAGCCTTATCTTTGCCTTCCCAGTCTTCTGCCCCTCAGACCCTGTTACTAGTCCAATGATGGCGACAGGCTCTCGTTACAGCCACTACCCTAGCGCCCGGGGGGATGTGCCAGCAGTAAATGCCACAGGATTTGGTGCTTAAGACAGCAGAATGGGGTGATGGTCCCAGATTTGGGGCGAGGAACACAAACAAACCCGGTCACTTCCTTTGCAAGGGCTTGATTGTTTTTAGACACACCTCTCCCACTCCTGCCTCATTTGACTGTGACATTTACAAATTTCCCATACTAACTCACACTTCATTTTCATTTCAGACTTACCTTGCAGTCTAAGCAGTAGTGAAATGCCAGTCTCTCTCTGTTCGCTGCCTCCTTTCAGCCGAGATCAGGGCCCCACCGGGCGAGGTGTTGGACACAGAGAGAGTCTTAGCACTTAGCAAAATGCAGTCTAATGGCACACACAGCAGGAGGAGAGAGAGAGGGGAATTGATTTGGCAAAGGTCACACAGCAGAGCTGTGAACAGAACTTGGGTTTTCAGAGTCCCGGTGTCCCACCCTTCTCACCGACGTTCATTATTTCTCACAATGGTTTGTATGAC